AGCAGCATGCCTGTCAGTGGCGTAGAAAGTCAACTTAGCTTCGTCAGATGCCCTAAACCGTAAACCCCAGCCATACATGTCCCTCGGTCCGGCCTCGCGCTTCGTAGAAGGCTTCGGCTCAAAAACCATGGGCCGCAAGGGCACCTGTGGCTGGGCCGAAGTTCGGGCAGCACCAAGGGCAAAAGTGCAAACCCTGAACCCTAAACCCTAAACCCTAAACCCTAAACCCTCTAGAAATCCGTGTGGGCGCACATCCACGACCTAGAAATCCGTGTGAGCGCACATCCACGACCTGGAGCCCTGCCACAAGCTCACATGGGTACATGCCCCAAATAGAATCGAATCGGGGCCCCGCCAAAAAGGGGTACCGGAAACCCCCACATCCTATCCAACCGGACTGACTTGGTTCAGGGCATATATACCTTTTCTAGTCGCTATGTGCCTAACTAACCCCCAAAATAACCCTTAAGGTCCCTTGTAAGGGTTCCTCCTTGCGTATCGAAGAAGCATCCAGGCCTTCTTGCTGGAACTCCTTTGCGCTCGTTGGGGTTTAGGGTTTAGGGTTTAGGGTTTAGGGTTTAGGGTTTAGGGTTTAGGGTTTAGGGTTTAGGGTTTAGGGTTTAGGGCTTAGGGTTTAGGGTTTAGGGTTTAGGGACGACTTAATTAGCGAGGGTTTGGTCAGGCTACCAAGGGACAAAGAATTGTTCAAGATGACACCTGAAAACCCGCAACGGCCGAGCCGAGACCGATGTCTCAATCCTCCATGCTTGGTAGCCCAATAACCTTATTATAATAAGGGCACCCTTTTTGGCACCTTGATGCCCAAAAAAGGGAAAAGGGCACCACTGGACTGTCAAGTAACCCGCAGCTTTTGTATGCCAAAGCTCCTGAAACTGGAAGTTTCAAGTCCCGAAGATCATACGAATCCAGACTGGTTCTTAGTAGGGAATGAGGGAATGAGGTACCCTATATAATCCCTTAAAGGGTGTATATATACATATATACATATATACATTTATATATATATATATATATATTGGGCCCTGATTCCCTCATTCCCTACTGAGAACCAGGGCGCTTTCCGCTTCGGTGTTCTGAGAGCTGCCTCTGAAAATCTAGCGGCCCTGCTCTGTGCCCAAGCGCCGACTTTTAGGTGAATAATCTCAAAACCCTGAACCCTGAACCCTAAACCCTAAACCCTGAACCCTAAACCCTAAACCCTAAACCCTAAATCCTAAACCCTAAACGCTAAACCCTAAACCCTAAACCCTAAACCCTATGCATGGACGCTTTCTCGTCTTGCAGCTCCTGCGTTCGCCTTCGCGGCAAGGTTCGCTCCCTTCTCGGCGGCCTCGAACGGCACGCTTCGGTGCGCGGCGGCTTTAGGGTTTAGGGTTTAGGGTATTTAGGGTTTAGGATGTAGGCAGGGTTTAGGGTATTTAGGGTTTAGGGTGTAGGCAGGGTTTAGGGTTTAGGGCGGCTCTCTTCAGCAATGCTGGAACACAATGCTTTGCAAGCCATAAACATCATTAACAGCTGATCTAAACTCGCCGTGCCCGGCGCACACAGCTGCCTGCTATGTCAACGAAGCTGGTGCCCGGGACATCGAACCACTAACACAACGGAAGCAGTTGGATCTGAGAAGCGAGCTGTTGCCCCAAGCAAGCAGAGCTGGGCCCAAGCAGATTTCGCTTCCCTATACTCCCCTTAGAACCTTAATAAAAATAGTATTTCTAATATCCTCTTGGGTTTTATAACCCTAAACCCTAAACCCTAACCCCATAAACCCTAAACCCTGAACCCTAAACCCTAATTCCCAAGGGAAATTTCACTGCCTGGCTGCTTGAGCCTGCAGATGCCCTGCGTAGAGAAACGGTGAGCTGAGCTGCATGCCCTGCAACTCAGGCCAGATAATCATGAAACCCTAAACCCTAAACCCTAAACCCTAAACCCTAACCCCTACACCCTACACCCTACACCCTACACCCTACACCCTAAACCCTAAACCCTAAACCCTAAACCCTAAACCCTAAACCCTAAACCCTAAACCCTAGCCCTGGGTTTATGCATGGCAAAGCCATTTTCAGACATCGGCGTCGCGAGCTTCGGACTCCGCGGCTCAAGGAGTGAGGATGCTACTATAGGGGCCTTGATAATTAGAACTGGGTTTAGGGTTTAGGGTTTAGGGTTTAGGGTTTAGGGCTTAGGGCTTAGGGCTTAGGGCTTAGGGCTTAGGGCTTAGGGCTTAGGGCTTAGGGCTTAGGGCTTAGGTTTAGGCTAGGGTTTAGGGTTTAGGGTTTAGAGTTAGGCACCTTGGGCCAAGCTTCTCCTCACTCCTCCTCCTCCTATACTCCCCTTAACACCTTCATGAAAATAATATGTTTTAATATCCTCTTGTGTTTTAGTTTTATATGAACAAAAATACAAAATAATTCCTAAGGGGGATGTAGCACCAGCTCAGGCTCAGGTTCTTTGCCGCGCTCCTCCGAGGGTGGACGGTTTTCGGGATTGGGCTTAGGGCTTATGGGGTTTAGGGTTTAGGGTTTAGGGCTTCGGGTGTTCAGTTGCTTAACCGACTACTAAAGAGAGCCCAGCACAGTCCTTCAGAAATTTCGCCCCAAGTTTTTGGCAGAGCCCTGGTCTCCTCTTGCTGGTACCGAGGGCAACGGCCTCAGACTGACAAGAAACCACGGGGCCCTGAATAACAATGGAAATCATCATTCCGATTCTTGAGAAACTGTCCAACCCTCCCTGGGCTCATGTTCTGTTCTTCAGGAACCTTAGTCTCTAAAGACTAACCAAGCCCTAAACTTGGCTGCACTTAGGAGGGTAGCTATAAATAAAAATTTTATAAGCTGCCTTACTAAGGAACCCAATAAACCCAAAAAGGCGAAGGATCTAAAGTTACAGTAAAGCACCACAAAGATGAAATTCAGGGTTTCGGATCAAGCCTTAAAAGCCCAATTGTAATGTTAAGAATTCCTAAAGGAGAAAGTAGTATTTTATTCTATATTCAAAGGTCTTCTAATGAGTGTTCTTGGTTAGTTATAATATTATACGGGAAGTCATTAATAATATAACTTCGTAAACTCCCTAATAAATATAATGAAAGGTGAAAAGGAAGAACATATGGTTTACAGTCGGGCCTCTTGGCTTTCAGCGCTGGCAAGTCTCGGAAAGGGAGGCAAAAAACCGCAGGCTTCGGGGAAATCAGGGCTTGAACCATCTTGAACCGTTGTGGGTTTCGGGTCAAGGGCTTAAGTCTAGGGGTCCTGGAATGCCCTAGACAGCTGTTTGAGCCTGGCGGAAAAAACCTCCCTCCGGCAGCACGTGTGGCACGTAAAGCAGCACTGGCACAGTGCCGAGCTGCACTTCGAATTCCAATCTAGCGTCGCCCAGTGACGAGTTGTGTTTGAGGGCCTTCTAGTTACTAGTTGCTACCCTTTTGTTGCTTCTTAGCCCCCTCTACAAAGATTCTTGCGGTGCTCGGAGTTGACCTGTCTGGAAGATTGCATTCAGTACCTTCGCTCCTACACCCTCTTAAGGCGAAGGCACACTTGAAAGGACCTAGTTACTTGCAGGACGGGAGTCGCCGTCATTCTTGTACGGTGAAACTAACGACCGCCGAGATTGCCAAGCGTTGCACGAGCGGGGCATTAAAACACTACCTCGACAAGGTCGCCGTCCTCCTCGGCATTTGCATGAGTACCATCAGCAGAAGCATCGTCGTGGTGACGCGACGATTCCATATGACCGCGGGAGGCTGCCAATGACGACACCCTCCCACATTCTGCTCGACATCCGTCCAAACCTTGCAGTAAGTACTCTGGAAGGGCGTCTTGCTGCACAAAGTCCCTTACGTTGCAGCCCCGGCAGTTGCACAAATCGAGCTGCGCGCCTGCTGCCAACCTCACAAGCCCCGTGGAAGCCAAGGCTACACCAACAGAGTAAGTACTGACATGGCATTTGTCTAAGCAATAAATCAGCAGCATCTTGCTGCTCACTTCTCCATAGCCCACGATTTTACAGAATGAAGCCTGGCAAGATCAAGCAAGACACACACACACACACGCGCACACGCACACGCACACGCACACGCACACGCACACGCACACGCACACGCACACGCACACGCACACGCACACGCACACGCACTCGCACACACACACACACACACACACACACCACCACACACACCCAACACACACACCCACCACCCACCCACCCACCCACCCACCCACACCACCCACCACCACCCACCCACCCACCCACCCACCCACACACCCACCACACCACCCACCCACCCACGCACGCACGCACGCACGCACGCAACGCACGCACGCAAGCACGCACGCCGCACGCACGCACGGCACGCACGCACGCACGGCACGCACGCCACGCACGCACGCACGCACGCACGCACGCACGCACGCACGCACGCGCACACGCACGCACGCACGCACACGCACGCACGCACGCACGCACGCACGCACGCGCACGCACGCACGCACGCACCACACACGCACGCACACACGCACGCACACACGCACGCACACCCACACGCACACCCACACACACACACACACCCACACACACACCACACACACACACACACACACACACACACACACACACACACACACACACACACACACACACACACACACACACACACACACACACACACACCCACAAAAGCAGGCTAAGCTCTGCCACTGCTGGCTGAGTGTCAGTGCAGCAGCGCCATCATGCTGCGCTGTCATAACAGCCATCATCAGCGGCGTCAGGCCGTGGTAATGGTAGAAGAGCTTCGTGGACGGAGTTCGTCTGCCAAACCGATACCGAGCGCACTCAAAGGCACCGAAAGCACGGGCCGCAAAGCGCAAGCCATAAAAGTCGAAGTGGTGGTCCACGTCAGCTTGAAGCTCCTGAAAGCAATTTTGCAGCTGGGGGCTTAGGACCGACAAATACCGACAACAAAGTTTGGAGAAGAAAACACCTTACAACCCGCATACATGGAAGTTCGAACTCGACTTCGTGGCGTAAATTGGTCTCCAAGGCTCCAACAAATACTGAACCACTGCGGGGGTGCAACCGACAGCGACACCGGCGGAGAGCACCAGGGCTCGCGAGAACTCGAGCGGGCCAAGTTTCTTGTCTCCCAACCTGTCTTGTCTCACGCATTCCGCCACAGTGGCAAGATCCCCGTTGGAATAGATGCAAGCACACTCAAAGGCTGTGAAGCCCCAGAGGTTTCTCGTAAGCGGCGAGTGGGTTGTCTGCTCACACAACATGCGGAGTCCTTCCACATTTTGTTGAATTGCTGCCAATACGATAGCAGGCATGAGTCCACCGGTGTGGCGAGCCCTCGCACTCAGCAGCACCTGCACCACATCGTTGTTGTGATAAAAGATGCTGAGATCGAGAGATGACATCCATTGCAAAAGCCCCATTTCAGCATTTGCCTGACGGGTTTTCCTGTCGATGTCCGCTCGCTGCTTCAACAAGTCTCGGACAAGCTCCGGGTTGCCTCCCACCGCAGCGTAGTGGAGAGGGCTGAACCCCGCCATGTCGACACTTCGAACGCTTTGGAAGCCGTTCTCATAGAGGAAGTGCGTAAGCAGCGAGGTGCACCTGGAATCCGGCTCGAAGTCTGCAAGCAGCTCTGGCTGGGGCTCGGCAGACAAGCCTCTCAAATGCACGCTGTACATGTTCAGGAGCAGACGGTACCCCACCAAATCTTGAGCTCTAGCAAAAAAGCGTACCTTACGCATCAGCAACTGCCTCAAGACAGGCAAGAGTTTGGCACGGTCGCCCTCAACTGTAAATTCGCCCTCCCCAACAGATCCTCCGCTGGGAAAGGCCAACGGAGTTCCCAGCAACTGTAATCGCGTCTTGCTCTGGATCAGAATCCAGCTTCCATTTTCGGACAACTCCCGGCAGATCCTTTCTAGACGGCACCATCCCCTCTTGCTCCACGTCGCGGCTGAGAAGACCTTGCCCATAGATGGACTGTCAATGACAGGGCAAAGGGCCAAGAAGAAACTGCACTTGGCCACATAGGCTGGGATGCTGCTGATGGCATGGGCAAGATTGCTCTGCTCGCCGGAAACCGCGCTCTCCAACTGCGGACACGAGAAATAGTCGTACCAGAACGACAGGGGCTTGGAGGTGAAGTCCGTGACCGACAGGCGTTTGAGGTTTACCCATGCACCCTCGGTGGTTGCATCCAGCGGCACGTGCGTCACATCGGAAAAAAGGAGATGTCGCAAAGCATCTTGCAATACACGGAACTGCCGAAAGTCTGGGTCCGGATGCGCTGAGTCAACCCACTGGTGGGACACGAAGGCGGCTTTCCCTCTGGTGTGGTCAAACTCAATGAGGATGCCCTTGGCCTTGAGATCTCATCTAACACGCGCAGCCCCCAACACCATCAAGCACCATCCAGAACCCTCAAACTTCTAACCCTGAATAATTCAAACCGTCCCCTAGTTCCCAAACCCAAAGTACCCAGTTTGGCCTTCAGCATCTCATGCGGCTCCAGCACTTCCATCTGTAAGAGATCTTGCAGTGGCACCGTGTACATGGGAAAGTGCATCGGAGCCTCCTGCAAGTCAAAGTTTGCTGACAAAACTCTCTTTTTTGCTTTCATCTTTTCAGGGGGCGCAGGGGCCTCCGCGGAAGTCGGTCGCCGCGCCCCGCCCCCTCTCTCCCTCCCTCTCTCCCTCCCTCCCTCCCTCCCTCCCTCCCTCCCTCTCTCTCTCTCTCTCTCTCTCTCTCTCTCTCTCGCGCTCACTCTCTTTGCAAAATCGCCCGGGGGGATGCAAAGTTGTACTTTGTCCATCCGGCCAATGGACCCCCCCACCCCCCTGCAGCCAAAGCCCAAGGTTTGTTGCAAATGTGGGTGGGGACACTGTGTGCCGCGGGGCCTGGAGCGTGGCTTTCAGGTTGAACATTTAGGGTTTTGGCCGGCCCTAGAACAACCTGCAAAAGCCGTCGCCAGTCCTACACATGGCTCTTAGCTCTGCGTATGTTTGGCACGACAAGGCCTCATCTGCCCCACGCAAAGATCGGGCAAAGAGCTGCAAAGGGGTCCTGACCAACGAAGGGCTGCAACAACCGTACACCGAACCATCCTGAAGTATCTCTTCAGTACAAGTATGCTTTTCCAAAGCATCACAAAAAAAAAACAATCCTCGGCAACATCTGAAAGCAAAGCACATGACTGCACACAAGCCCCATAGAAAGCTATCCATGTGTTAATCAAATAACCAAGGGACAGGGGCTTGTGCGGTCCACACTGGCAGCTCGACATGATTGATGTTGAATCTTGTAAGTCAGTTCAAAGTTTGGGCATTTCCGGAGCCGAAACACTCCGTGCAGACAGCCTCATGCGGGTGCTCTAAATCAGGGGCCCCCCTGCAAATACCCAAAGATTCCCGGTCCTAAAGATCAACCACCACCCCGTTCGAGCTGGCTCGAACTCGCAGGGCGAGTCTTCCTCTTCTGCAGCCCCCTACCCGAAAACCCCCTAAACCTATCCTAATGAAGCCCCCCTTGTGAGGATGGATCTTGCATTGAAACCCTCGAGCCCCTGATGCAAGCCCGCAGGGCGGAACCTCACCAAGTGGCCGACCTCACGGCATCCTCATGCTCGTGCCCGTTTCGCACGCGACCTCCACATGGGTGGGTCCCTTTTTGGATCCCTAAACATAATGCGGCACCTTAATATTTGGGGTACCCCAAAAGGGATTATAATTTTGCCAGCCACCCACATAGGACTCCACAGGTCACACCGACGAGTCAAGAAGCTGGCTATAACATATGACGGGCGAAACTTGAATATTTCATCCGTGTTGGACAGGGAGTAAAAAGGATTAGAGTATTTCGGGGGAGCATACGGGGTATCACTTTAGGAAATACCCAAATCCTAAACGCTAAATAATTTGAAGGCTTGCGAGGCTCTGGAGATATGCTTTGGGTCGGTTACCCGCGAAAGCAATATGGTGGCTACTATCCCCAGCCTAGCTACCCACTCCCCGGAATGCAAGTTGAAGTTGTTTTTAGATATTTGGGTCTCAGCTTCAGGGAGGGGGTACCCCTACAGGGAATGGCATCGGGGCAGGGCGTTTGGGGATTTGGGACCTCGGGCTCAGGATGCAGAGTGAAGTTTACCATGGTTGACAGGAATTTGAGTTTGGGGGTGAGAGGCAAAGTGTCCCAAAGAAATCCCAGAATTCAAGGCTCCGACCGTGTGAGACCCTCACCAAGCCAGCTTTGAAAGGAGAGGCTTCAAGCAAACAGGCCGAGGATGCTGGCGCCGGCGAGGGCATTCTTGGCACAAGCTCCGGCTCCACATGGGCTCGCCAGAGGAGTTTTGTTCTCTCGAGGGTTTTGCGGGGTCTTAGGGCTGAGGCTTCAAGATCTGTAGGGTTTTGGGAGTATCGTCCAGGGTTTCGAGGGTTTGGAGTGTAGGCTTTTGGGGTTTAAGGTTCAGGGTGGGCACTTGGGCTTAGGGTTGAGGGTTAAGAGGGTTATATCAGGGATGTGGGCTCGCGGGCCGTCGTGGTACTCCACTTGCGGCTGCGGCCCCCGAACAGCTGCGGAAGAACTTTTTCGCCAGAGCAAACCCCCAAGGGGAATTGAATTGCTCGGCTGGGGCCTTCATCTCATTGTTATCCTTATTTGTGTTATTATTATTATTACTATTATTATTATTACTATTATTATTATTGTTATTGTTATTGTTATTGTTATTGTTATTCTTATTATTCTTGTTTTGAGTATTATTAGTGTTGCTAGTATAGAAACCTGTCAGTGGCTTCAAGGACTGCAGAGAAGTGACCCACCATCTCAGTCCCGCCCAAGCACACAAGACGAAGCGGATCCTCCTGCTTGGCCGGCTGTCTTTGTCAAGTTCTGCCTCCTCCTCATCCTCCTCCTCCTCCTCCTCCTTCCTCCTCCGGGTTTAGGGTTTAGGGTTTAGGGTTTAGGGTTTAGGGTTTAGGGTTTAGGGTTTAGGGTTTAGGGTTTAGGGTTTAGGGTTTAGGGTTTAGGGTTCCTCATCCTCCTCATCCTCATCCTGCTCCTCCGCTTCCACCACTGTGTCCTACTGTCTCAGCACTTCCAAAAGCTCGAGCTCAGGTTCTTTGCCGCGCTCCTCCGAAATTGGACGGTTTTCGGGATTGGGCCTGATCCTTGGAGACACCCAGAGCTTTTTGCGAGCGACGTGAGGCGATGGCGCCTAGTAGCGCTCAGAGGTGTAAAGGGGTGGGGGGGTTAGGTTTAGGGTTTGGGGTTTAGGGGTTTAGGGGGTTAGGGCGTTTTGGGGGGGGGCAACGCATCAAGACACGTTCGAGGCCTAAACCTCACACCCTACACCCTACACCCTAAACCCTAAAGGTATACGGAAGAATTCCACCGTGCATAATGAGTCCCTGGTTTGAGAGGCGCCGGCTGCGCACAAATCAAGCCCTCAGGCCCCGCAAATCCCCTAAACCCAATGCCAGACACCCTGAACCCTAAACCCTAAACCCTGAACCCTGAACCCTAAACCCTAAACCCTAAACCCTAAAACCCCCAAACCCTAAACCCTAAACCCTAGCCCCCAAACCCCAAACCCTAAACCCTAAACCCTTAACCCTAAACCCTAAACCCTAGCCCCCAAACCCCCATGCCCACCTCGCATCCCGCAGAAAGCTCGGGAAGGTTGGAGGGGGGGAGGGTGGAGCTTGTGAGAACTCGGGGATTCAAGGGTTCGGTTTAGGGGTTGACGCCTAAACCCTAAACCCTAAACCCTAAACCCTAAACCCTTGAGGGCTCGTGGTGGTGTAGGAATTTGAGGGGCTTAGCTAAGTAACAGTCTGTATCAAGGTCGCTCGGGATTCAGGGCCTTGTTTTGGGAGGGCGGCCCTAAGGTTTAGGGTTTAGGGTTTAGGGTTTAGGGTTTAGGGTTTAGGGTTTAGGGTTTAGGGTTTAGGGTTTAGGGTTTAGGGTTTAGGGTTTAGGGTTTATGGTTTAGGTTTAGGGTTTAGGGTTTAGGGTTTAGGGTTTAGGGTTTAGGGTTTAGGGTTTAGGGTTTAGGGTTTAGGGTTTAGGGTTTAGGGTTTAGGGTTTAGGGTTTAGGGTTTAGGGTTTAGGGTTTAGGGCATGAAGTTTACAAAAGGGGTTTAGGGGGTTTCAGGGTCTGTTTTGGGTTCAGGCTAGATGGACTGCAGGGGGTTGCCAGGTTTAGGGTTTGGGACAAGAGGAGAAGGCTTTTTTGACGGTATGAGGGTATGAGGGTTACAAAAGGGGCTTAGAGGGTTCAGGGTTTGTTTTGGGTTTAAGCCTCTAAGGGCTGTAAGGGCTTTTTCCGGATTTAGGGGTTGGGACATGAGGAGAAGGAAGGTTTTGATACCCCCCGGGCAGCTTGCAGGGCCCTCTTGGGCTCGGTCGCGCGGCGTTCGGAGCAAAAGCGTTGCATCGGATTTGAGGGTTTTCTTGGGCTTGCCGAGACCCGAAAAGCACCCCTCCTTGTTTTAAGTTTTAAGGCACAAGCTGAGGCCCTTAAGCGCACTTGGGGCCTTAGGTTTTGGATCTTTGGGGTGCTCAGGGCCGGCAAAATGCCCCTGAATTCCGCGAGATGGGCTTCCCAAGCCACATGAGTGGGCAGATGGCTCGAGCTGGCAGTCTGTGTGCCCGCAGCGAGCTGTAGGACTCCTCACCCTAGCAGCCCGGAAGCTCTATACAGATTCTCGATATGAAAAGTCCATGGCACTGCACAAGGGAGAGTTGTGGGGATGGTCTCTGCCAACGGCCCACAACTCCAAGAGAGAGACTGGCTGACGCCGGCGTGGTGTCGGCAGCAGCTCTTGCTAGGCCTCGGATGGGATGGGTAGCTGCTTGGGTTTTACATAGCTCATATGATATGAGTTGAGGGTTCAGGCTTTTGGAACGTGGTCCGTTGCAGCCTGCTGTTCTCGAAGAGATCTTGAAGTTGCTCTTCGCATGTGCGCAAGAAAGAGACAAAGACACGGGGACACCAGGAAAAGCATTGAACCCTAAATCCTAAACCCTACACCCTAAACCCTAAACCCTAAACCCCAATCCCCAATCCCTAAACCCTAAACCCTAAACCCTAAACCCTAAACCTGGGACAGCGTGGAAAGACCGACTCCGCGATGCTAAACCCCCCTAAGAGCCCTTATCCTACGAGCGCTGAATATGGAACTCGGTTCCGTTTAGGGTTTAGGGTTTAGGGTTTAGGGTTATAACTTAGGTTCCCCATAACTAGCCCTTAAACGTTAGGTTCCCTGTAGAACCCCTTAAAAATGCTAACTTAAAAATGCTAACAGGCCTCACCAACTTCCGGAACTCCCCTTTTCGAAGCTCAGACCATGCTCGGAACCTGGTACACCCCGAACAGTTTAGGGTTGAGGGTTGAGGGGTCGAGGGAGTTGAGGGAGTTGAGGGTTGGGTGAATGGGGTTGGGGCTCATGAGGAGTTGAGGTCTGGTGTTGAGGATGGAGGGAGTCAAGCTGAACGCCGCCGCGGCACACATGCCGGGTGCCGCACCGGGCGAACACCGACATCTGTTCAGCAAACACAAGGGCCTGGCACAACTCTCGCCCTTCATCCTCAATTTCTGAACAAAGGGGGGGTCGTTTCGGGGACAGGCATTTAAAACGAAGTAAGCGTAGGGTAGGGCAGAGCTGAAAGGTGCTGGAAAAGCGCATCCCAAGTGATCCAGTTCTTCCAGGTGTCCTGCAGTGCTTAGGGTTTAGGTGTTTTCGGTTTAGTTCGGTGTTTCGGGTCATGAGCCCAACAGTGTGCAACTCCAACTCGGCACCCAAATCAAACCAAAAGAATCTCAACTTCACCTGTGTCCACCCGCTGTCAACATAGTACTCCGCCCGCATCCGATGTTTGAAACGCAAGAGGAGCGGCACAAGCGCAACTGCAAAAACGAACGCCCTAACGCATATTCAAAAACGATGTCGATGTTATCATGCACGAGTCGTTCCCTCTGAAGCGCTTCGGTGTGCCGGCCAATGTGTCTCAGATAGCAATCGTCTTAGACCTCCTCTATACATCTCTATACAAGGCCAAACTTACGATAAACTGGATACATTTGACAAACAAACATGTATGCGCTGTTGGCGAATCCTGTGTTTCTTGGCACTTCTCCGTGACCACCAAGGCATTACAGCCTCTGGGCGAGCCAGAGGTAGCTGTTTATAACACGCGACCGAGTTTGTAAAAGCATGTATACGGTACCCACGGGGACTCAAACGGAGATGGGTATTGGACAGTAGTAGCGGGTGCTTAACGCCAGCGTTCCAGTGGAAGGTTTCGATGTTAGGCCGCCCTCAGTTCGGGCAGTGACAGTGAGATTTGCCTGGGGCAAGGGGCTTAGCGGCCGAGATCGGAATCCACACCTTGAGAAGCCGACTCGAAGGATCGACGAACCCTAAACCCGAAACCCTAAACCCTAAATCCTAAACCCTAAACCCTAAACCCTAAACCCTAATCCTTAAACCCTACCCAGCAAACCTCCTGGCAGACAAGAGCGTGGAGCTCTGGATCGACACAGCGTTCTGTTGGGGGATTCTTCTCTTCAGGTCAAACTCCCGCCTGCATGACTCGCCGGTGTCCTATGCGGTGTGAGCCTATCGTACATGATGTTTTCGGTTCAACTGCCAGCTATGCTAAGATTCTCCGCTTCCCACGAGAGCATTGTAAGTACCGCACAAGTACACAGCATGCAACTAGCGAGACAACATCAGGACTTCGACGTTACAACGCCGGATGCGCGGCACATGTCCGGCGAGGTACCCGCGTAGCAAGCTTCCTTTTTTGCTTCGTATCCCCGCCCAATGGGCCTCCCTAAAACCCTAAACCCTAAACTACACTTGGGGGGTGAGGTTGGCTTTTCGCTCACAGAGGCCCGGCATGCGGCATTGCGATGCTTGATTCTTGGTTGGACCCAATATGATAGAAGATGCTTTTTCGTAACCTGGCGCTGAGAACTTTGTTTGCGTCTGAAACATTGTTGCACACAGTGACACATGTAAATGGCAATGAAATCTGCCTTTTAGTGAGGCTGCAAGGAAGGCGCGCGCGCTTGGAGTTTTTAGGCAATTGCGGGGTTTCAATCCAGCCCAAGGACAAGCCAAAGTCTGAGTATTGTCGTTGCCCAAAGACCCCAGAAGCCTGAGCCCTCAACCAAAAACATGTCCGGCCACCCTCTGGCGCACCCTTTCTAGATTCACCCTACACCCTAAACCTTAAACCCTAAACCCCAAACCCTAAACCCTATACAGTGTGTGGAGACCTGGGAGTGGGAAATCTTGAGATTGTCAGGAGGAGTCTGGGGGGTGCGGTCCAGGGATGCGCGCTTTGCGGGACTTGTGTGGGATTTAGGGTTTAGGGTTTAGGGTTTAGGGTTTAGGGCTTAGGATATAGGGTTTAGGGTTTAGGGTTTAGGGTTTAGGGTTTAGGATGTCCATGAAAAACATAGCAAACAGGTTAGGCATTTCTAGCTCGCCACACAACAAGAACCGGGGCTTGGGATGTTCCCCCTGAAGCTAACACGAGGGGTACGGGTGAAAGCAAGCTGGACCTCTGGCTTCAACTAAACCCTGAACCCCCAAACCCTAAAACCCTAAACCCGAAAACCCGAAACCCTAAGCCCTAAAACCCTAAACGCTAAACCCTAAACCCTAAACCCTAAATGCTGACCCTAAAACCCTAAACCCTAAACCCTAAACCCTAAACCCTAGACCCTAAGCCCGAAACCCTAAAACACCAGACCCACCTCCCGCGCCGCAGGGCCACATGCCGCTTGGGAGGCTCTGGCAGGCAGCGGCGCAAGCCTCAGGGGTTGATAGGGTTGACAGGGTTTAGGGTTTAGGGTTTAGGGTCTAGGGTTCAGCATCTCAGGTCCAAGCATTCACTTGTCAAGAAATTACTTCAGAAAAATACCCACCCGCCCGAAGAATCCCACAACATTATGAAAATATTTCACTTATGGAACGACCTTGCCCAGTAAAAAAATGACCTTGCCCAGTAAAAACATGACCTTGCCCAAAAAAAAAATGACCTTGCCCAGTAAAAAAATGACCTTGCCCAGTAAAAAAATGACCTTGCCCAGTAAAAAAATGACCTTGCCCAGTAAAAAAATGACCTTGCCCAGTAAAAAGATGACCTTGCCCAATAAAAAAATGACCTTGCCCAATAATGACCTTGCCCAGTAAAAAAATGACCTTGCCCAGTAAAAAAATGACCTTGCCCAGTAAAAAAATGACCTTGCCCAGCAAAAAAATGACCTTGCCCAGTAAAAAAATGACCTTGCCCAATAAAAAAATGACCTTGCCCAGTAATGACCTTGCCCAGTAAAAAAATGACCTTGCCCAGTAAAAAAATGACCTTGCCCAGTAAAAAAATGACCTTGCCAAGTAAAAAAATGACCTTGCCCAGTAAAAAAATGACCTTGCCCAGTAAAAAAATGACCTTGCCCAGTAAAAAAATGACCTTGCCCAGAAAAAAAATGACCTTGCCCAGTAAAAAATGACCTTGCCCAGTAAAAAAATGACCTTGCCCAGTAAAAAAAATGACCTTGCCCAGTAATGACCTTGCCCAGTAAAAAAATGACCTTGCCCAGTAAAAAAATGACCTTGCCCAGTAAAAAAATGACCTTGCCCAGTAAAAAATGACCTTGCCCAGTAAAAAAATGACCTTGCCCAGTAAAAAGATGACCTTGCCCAGTAAAAAGATGACCTTGCCCAGTAACATTTTTACTGGGCAAGGTCATTTTTTTACTGGGCAAGGTCGTTTTTTTGGACGAAACGACCTTGCCCAGTAAAAATGCCCTTGCCCAGTAAATCACCTTGCGCAGAAAAAAATGACCTTGCCCAGTAACTCCTTAACATTTAAATTATATACGAAAGAGAGGTTAGGGTTTAGGGTTTAGGGTTTAGGGTTTAGGGTTCAGGGTTCAGGGTTCAGGGTTCAGGGTTTAGGGTTTAGGGTTTAGGGTTGAGGGTTTAGGGTTGAGGGTTTAGGGTTTAGGGTTTAGGGTTTAGGGTTTAGGGTTTAGGGTTTAGGGTTTAGGGTCTAGGGTTTAGGGTTTAGGGTTTAGGGTTTAGGGTTTAGGGTTTAGGTGTTTCAGGGGACTTCAGCCGGTTTCAGGGGGTCTGGGGTTTAGGATTTATATAGGGGGTTTAGGGGGTTTAGGGGGTTTAGGGGGTTTAGGGGGTTTAGGGGGTTTAGGGGGTTTAGGGGGTTTAGGGGGTTTAGGGGGTTTAGGGGGTTTAGGGGGTGCAGGGTGTTTTGGGTTTCGGGTTTAGAGTTTAGGGTTTAGGGGTTAGAGTTTAGGGTTGAGAGTTTAGGGTTTGGGTTTCGGGTTCGGGGCGTAGTGCCCAAAAACCCTGAATAAACTAAGGACTACAAAGGTGGCAAGAAAAGCAAACCTCTATCTTACGAATTGGGGGTTCGAAATTGGTGGAGGGTGGGGGTTCCCGGAGAGTGGTGTGGGGGTCATCTCGCAGAGCCCTGAAACCCTACCCCCCTCCCCCCAGGGCAGCTGAGCGTCTGCGTCGCTTGCGCCGAAACCCGCCGCTTTGGCCTCGGCTGTTGCAGCACCTTAGCTCTGCGAGCACTTTGGGTTTTTGTTGAAAGAATAGGGTTTAGGGTTTACGGGACTAGGAATGGAAGAAACAAAAAAATTGAACACCTGGGAGTTCAAGGGGTAAGAGGTTTGGGCAGCCCGACATGTAGACGCTCTGCCTACCCCTGCTGGACTGTTGGGGGTTCGGGGGTGTTAGGTTTAGGGTTGAGGGCTTATAGGGTTGCTGGGTGCAGGATTTAAGCCGTCCCCTTGGCTAAACTATAGGAGAGAGGTTCTTCAGCGTTTCATGCTTCAAGGCGACCTTTTTCCCCAAAACGAGTCTTGGTGTTTGTTGCAAGACCCAATTTGGGGAGGTTGAGATATATCGGCCCCGCGTCCAGCAATAGGTGTTCCTGAGATCCCTCATTGCTGGGTATTGGCCAATCACTCCAGTTTCAGAGTTTGGCTGGCTGGAAATTGATCGGATTGATGGCAGGGTATTCGTTGGCAAGATTTGCAGGGGTGAGTGTTACAAGTACGCACGAGGCTCGAAGCTCCGACTTACGGAGTGTATTGGTCTGACCATGAAGATCTCAACCTAGCACATTATCTTATATGTGCCAAGCACCCAGGGCATCTTTAACGTTCGGCCCTGTTTACGAGCCGAGTATGTAAAGTGTGGTTTGCCGGGCTTTTGGTCGGGACCTTGTCTGCTGCCTCTAAGGACCCCCAAGTACGCCTGGAGATGCAGTAAAATCCAGATTTGCAGGCAACCACGAGGAAGAGGTGTAGGGTTTAGGGTTTAGGGTTTAGGTTTAGGGTTTAGGGTTTAGGGTTTAGGGTTTAGGGTTTAGGGTTTGGGGTTTGGGGTTTAGGGTTTAGGGTTTAGGGCTTGGGGTTTAGGGTTTCGCGCGCCCGCCCGGGGGGGGGGGGGGGGGGGGCGCATGGGATCCGATCCTGCGAGGCTCAGTGGCGGCCCTGGTTCCTCTGAGCTTTACAGAGGCACCTTGCTTGGAGGTTTGTTATAGCCTACAAAGAGGACTTAGAGGGCTTCGCGGGCTTTTGAAGACAGTTATCCTTGGGGTTGTAAGTACCCTGAGCCTCCAAGTAAGAACCCCAAACCCCGTGTTTTTGGCAGGGTCTTTCTGACGGTGAGCCCACTTCTGGGATTCTTCGAACCCACCTACGAAAAACAGGCTTGGGGTCCTCGAAGGCACCAGGAACCCACAGACAAGGGAAGAAAATGCCCTTTGTTGGGGTCCCTATTGCAAGGGGATCCTACTGTTTGGAGGTTCTATGTTCGGGGTCCACTGTTTTTCCCCTAAACCCTAAACCCTAAACCCTAAACCTTAAACCCAGTCTTGTGTTTTCAACAGGGGCCAAGCCGATGTCTGCGAGCGGAGTGGCCAGTGGTTTAGGGTTTAGGGTTTAGGGTTTAGGGTTTAGGGTTTAGGGTTTAGGGTTTAGGGTTTAGGGTTTCGGGTTTCGGGTTTAGGGTTTAGGGTTTAGGGTTTAGGGTTTAGGGTTTAGGGTTTAGGGTTTAGGGTTTAGTTTGTAGGGTTTAGGGTTTAGGGTTCAGGGTTTAGGGTTTAGGATTTAGGGTTTAGGGTTTAGGGTTTAGGTTTGGGCGCCAAGCTGCATACGCTGGGCGTGGTGGTGGCAGTCGTTGCTGACATGGTCGTGGTGGTTGTGGTGGTCGTGGTCGTTGTGGTGCTGGCCGGTGCTCCGGCCCGCGTGCACATCGGCGAGGGACAGCTCCTCGGATGCAGCACTAAGCACTGAACCCTAAACCCTAAATCCTAAACCCTAAATCCTAAACCCTAAACCCTAAACCCTACCCCGGACTACTGCGTGACTGCTGCAAGGCTTGGTTCTGTACTCCTCCTGCATTCTGCCATGTACAGGGGCTAAAATCATTAGAACCGAGTTATGGTATACTGAAAAAATGAACCATAAGGGAATACTCTTACCAAGCACTCCGGCCCCTCTACTGCACCACCGCTGTAAGCCACTATCCAGCGAAACCCTAAACCCTAAACCCTAAACCCTAAATGCCTAAACCCTAAACCCTTCAACGTCTCAGGATCATCCGCAGCCAAGTCTCGCACCGTTGGCGGAGCACCTTGCTTGGAGGTTCAGGGCACTTGGTAACCCTATGATATGTGTAGGGGTTTAGGGTTTAGAGTTTAGAGTTTAGGGTTTAGGGTTTAGGGTTTAGGGTTAGGGTTTAGGGTTTAGGGTTTAGGGTTTAGGGTTTAGGGGAGTTACAACCCACTTATAAGCCCCTTAAGTACCCCAATAGGATGATCATTGGGTTGTAAGTACAGGTATAATTGGGTTACCAAGTACCATGAACCTCCAAGTGGTCGACATGAGAGCTCCCCGTAGCCCACACACCACTACGCCACCTATTCCAGAATCATATGTATAGGTTTGATGGTTCTTCATAGATACAGCCAACTACAAGTCAGCACAACATGTTCAATGAGAGGGTAAAGTATGATAAGTGCAAGGTCTGACGTGGTTTTGTTCCCAGCGCAGAGTAGTTCAGGGTGTAGGGTTTAGGGAGGTTCATCTACCATCCGCACCAAAGCCCTTGGACTCCAATCCTTCTTGGGAACCCAAACCCTCAACTCAACCCTACTAGTCAAAGCCTTCATCATCAGGGCTCTCCAAAGCCCGAATCCCTAAACTCCAAAGTCTAAAGCTTGCTTTCGCCCTAAACCCTAAACCCTAAACCCTAAACCCTAAGCCCAAAGCCCTAAACCCCTAAGCCCTAAACCCCAAAAGCGCTGGGGAGGAGGTCGGAGAATGGGTGAATCTCGGAGACGGGGCGCCAGCTCACGTAGCCATTGTCGCGGCACCAGGGATTAACGTCGCAGTCCCTGGGGTTTAGGGTTTTAGGGTCTAAGGTTTAGGGTTGTAGGGTTTGGGGTTTTGGGGTTTTGGGTTTTTGGGGTTTTGGGGTTTCGGGGTTTTGGGGTTTTCGGGTTTTGGGGCTTTGAGGTTTTAGGGTACTAGCTACCTGTGTGTGGACATTCATAATAAGGGGGGGTGGGGGGGTGCTTCATTGTGAAGTAAGCTACCGCTACCAGAATAAGTTAAGGCACCATAGTTCGCAAGATGGAGTTAGCATGGATGCGCAGAAAATGCCAATAAACAACTCGGTTTGAATGAGGGGGGTAACTCAATGTAAGCACCTGTTTATCTGGACCCAACAGTAACCTAGGAATACAAGGGGTACGCTTCAAGGGGCTTATAAGGGATCCTAAACCCTGAAAATTGAATCAGGGCCCGCTCTGGATCCTAAACCCTAAACCCTAAACCCGACACCCTGAACCCAGAACCCTAAAGCCTAAACCCTAAAACCTAAAGCCCCTAAACCCTAAAACCCAAAATCCCTAAACCCCTAAACCCTAAACCCTAAACCGCAATCCCAGGCTCGGGTTGCGGATGCAGCGGCTGCCGCCTCCCGTGCCGGCTGTGGTCGTAGTGGTTGTGGTCGTGGTCGTGGTTGTCCCGGACGTCGCAGACGCGGTCGTGCTCGCATCCGTCCTTTACCGGCTCTGGTTTAGGGTTTAGGGTTTGGGGTGTTTGGGGTTTAGGGTTTAGGGTTTGGGGTTTAGGGTTTAAGGTTTAGGGTTTCTAGTTAAAGTAAAGAACGAAACACCCCGAAGCCCGGCGTCGTCGACGTGGTGGTGGAGCTGGACGTTGGCTGAGTGGTTTGCACGGTGGTCCTATACTGAACTTGGAACCCTAGCAAAAAACACAATTGTATCTGTTCACCAGGAATTATACCACCCAATCATTCATTGTAAAAAAACTAGCTGTTTCTTAGGAATTACAGTACCCCATAACTAAATATAATTTTCGCTACCCAACAGTGAAACAATATTCCCCCTAAACCCTAAACCCTAAACCCTAAACCCAAAAATGAAAAACAAAATACTTCCCAAAGTATCCCCTAAGGGTCGAGCTCGACCCGGCGGTGGTGCTGGGCCCCTGCGTGGTGCTCGGTGAGTCGGTGGTGGGACGCTGGCTCGAGCTGCCCTCCGGGCCTAGTTTAGGGTTTAGGGTTTAGGGTTTAGGGTTTAGGGTTTGGGGTTTGGGGTTTGGGGTTTGGGGTTTGGGGCTTAGGGTTTAGGGTTTAGGGTTTGGGGTTTGGGGCTTAGGGTTTAGGGTTTAGGGTTTAGGGTGTTTTTGGTTTAAGGGGCAGGGTTTTACGGACATGTCTATTCCTCGTTGAGTTTTAAGTACCCTTAAAAATGTCACATGTTGGCCCACGGTGACAAAGGGGCAGGTGCTGCCGCCGGTGCTCATGAGGGAGATGAGCGGGTAGGGCCTGCAGAAGCAGCCCCCAGGCGCCCGACACAAGAACCCTAAACCCGAAACCCTAATACCCTAATACCCTCATGCCCTAAGTACCCTGAATACCCTAGTACCCTAAACCCTACATCCTAAGCCCTAACCTAAGCCCTAAACCCTACACCCAAAACGAAAGACACTTGAGTTCATGATAAAGACACGAAGAAATAGAGGTTCGAGGTATGTGTCCCAAACAACAGGCAGATTCCCTGGAACATCCAGGCGTGGGGCAGCACAGCTTTGAGACGAAGAGTATGATAAAGCCAGTTCAGAAAACGTTAGAAACCTGGCAAAGTCCAGAAACACACAACTACACAAACACTGGAGGAACCTTTCTTATGCGGGGTTAGGGGTTTGGAGTTTAGGAGCTTCGGGGATTGAAGCCTGAAAGGCTGGGAGTTCAAGAGGATTAGCGGCCTAGAGAACAAGGGGTTTGAGATTTTCGGGCTTACCCTAAACCCTAAACCCGAAACCCTAAACCCGAAACCCTAAACCCTAAACCCGAAACCCCAAACCCTTAAAGGCTTCGTGCTTTGAAAGTGGGGGGGGTTTAGGAGCTGCGTCCGCCTGTCGCTGAAGCTGCCGTCCATGTCGTCCAAATCCAGGGCCCACCTCCATCGTTCAGCCCGAAACCCGAAACCCCAAACCCCAAGCCCTAAACCCTAAACCCTAAACCCTAAACCCGAAACCCTAAACCCTAAACCCGAAACCCTAAACCCGAAGGCCCTGAGGAGTTTCCGTGCTTTCGGGCTTAGGGGCTTCAAAGCTTGTACGAGTAGCTCTCCAGGGCTTTTAGGGCGCTTTAGGGGGGACCCCCCGCCCCCTCCCCCCCACCCCAAAAGCGAAGGCTCGAAACTCTCGAGCCCTCAGGGGTTAGGATTTAGGGGTTTGGGGCTTGCTACTATTTGCGAACGAACCCCCCAAAATCAGAAATTATTCTTCCTAACAAGGGGAATATAGGGCTTATTATCTTTCGTCTTTTGGGGGCTCTTGAAGCAAATAGAAATTTCGGGTTTAGGGTCTAGGGTTCAGGGTTGAGGGTTTAGGGTTTAGGGTTTGGGGTTTAGGGTTTAGGGTTTAGGGTTTAGGGTTTAGGGTTTAGGGTTTAGGGTTTAGGGTTTAAGGTTTAGGGTTTAGGGTTTAGGGTTTAGGGTTTAGGGTTTAGGGTTTAGGGTTTAGGGTTTAGGGCATTCTCCTTGCATCCAAGGGGCACCATGGAGCCCGCCAGTCCCTTCTCACGGGCAAACGCGAGCTTCGCGCAGATCGTCTGCCTGGGGTTTAGGGTTTAGGGTTTGGGGTTTAGGGTTGAGGGTTTAGGGTTTAGGGTTCAGGGTTTAGGGTTTAGGGTTTAGGGTTTACGGTTTAGGGTTTAGGGTTTAGGGTTTAGGGTTTAGGGTTTAGGGTTACGGACTTAAAGGGGTTTAGGGCTTTCGGGCTCAGGGTTGTAGGGGTTTTGAGTGGGTTTTGAGAGTTTTTTAACGATTTTTAGGGGTTTAGGGGCTTTCGGGTTCAGGGTTAAAGGTGGGCTTTATCGGTGTAGGAGGTGGGTGGCTCCACCCAAGTTGGGGGTTTCGAACAAGGATTCAGGCTTCAAATGAGGCCTAAACCCTAAACCCCAAATCCCAAACCTCTAAACCTCAACCCCAAACACTAAAACCCCAAACCCAAACCCCCCAAACCCCAAACCCTACACCCTAAACCCTCAAACCAAAGGCGGCCAGGCGACTCGTCGTCGTAGCCGATCCACTCGCCGTTGCTCACGACGTGGGCGCACACGCGCTGAGAGTCGAACACCGGGGTGGCCTGGGCTGTGCAGCCTAGTTTTAGGGGGGTCTAGGGTTTGGGGGGTTTAGGGTTTGGGGTTTAAGGTCTAAGGTTTAGGGTTTAGGGTTTGGGGTTTGGGGTTTAGGGCTTAGGGTTTAGGGTTTAAGGTGTAGGGTTTAAGGGTTTAAGGGTTTAAGGGTTTAAGGGTTTAAGGGTTTAAGGGTTTAAGGGTTTAAGGGTTTAAGGGTTTAAGGGTTTAAGGGTTTAAGGGTTTAAGGGTTTAGGGCTTAAGGTAGGTGCACTTTGGGAAACCCGAAACCCCTCAAACCCCTCATGAGCGAACGCTGTGCGTAAGCCCCCGACCCCCTTCTCCTCGATGTCGCGGATCTCGTAGTAAGCCAGGTACCCCTCCTGGCCTGCTTCCCCTAAACCCCTAAACCCTAAACCCTAAACCCTAAACCCTAAACCCCTAAACCCTATACCCTATACCCTAAACCCTAAACCCTAAACCCTAAACCCTAAACCCTATACCCCTAAACCCTAAACCCCTAAACCCCTAAACCCCAAACAGGGCCCAAGCCCTGCAAACTTTTGAACCCTCCAAGAAGGTTGTGGTGCTCCCTAAAGAGGTTGGTTCCTCACTCCTTCCCTTTGCTTCCTGCTTAGCGTGCAGGGTTAGGATCGCGACTCCCGATTAGGGGAGGGAAGGGGGGGCATAAGTAGGGGCCCTAAACCCTAAACCCTAAACCCTAAACCCTAAACCGGGGGTTTACAAAGAGTCCGCAGAAGGTTCAGGGACCGGCAGGTAACGAGGCTTGAGGCTTCGAGGCTTCGGGTTTAGAGCTTGGAGCGCTCCCAGGGTCTCTGAGCAAAACCCTCGATCCCTGCAGCCGCGCACCCTAAACCCTAAACCCTAAACCCTAAACCCTAAACCCTAAACCCCAAACCTAAACTCTAAACTAAACCCTAGACCCCTAAACCCTAAACCCGAAGCCCTAACCCCTAAGCCTCAAAGCTGGAAGCCCCCGAAAAAAAAGGCCAAGGCCTAAACCCTAAACCCTAAACCCTAAACCCTAAACCCTAAACCCTAGAACCCTAGAACCCTAGAACCCTAAACCCTATTCGGTAGGAGGCATCTGAGGCCGTGGTCCGAAGCTTCGACTGAGGCACCCTTCTCTCAGCGAACATCCACTAGGCTGGCCTTTAAAAACCCTCTGAAAACACATCCCTAACTATAATCTATCTCTGAAACACAATAAAAAAAGGAATGTGTACATATATATATATATATATATGATCTCTTTAACTATGGTCCTCTCTGAAACCCAATATACATATGTGTATATATGTATACGATCCCAAGGGCCTACCCATTCCATGCCGCCCCCTAGAGACCGCAAGGTCTTTCGAATATTTGCTTCGGCTTCATGGTAGAACTCAAAACCTCTGTTGGCCCCCTCAAACCCTCTGAAAAATAGATATGTTCCTTACGTGTGATCCTCTTTGAAACCCCATGAAGGACAACAGAACGTATCGCAAGGGCCTGCCCAAAGCCCTAAACCAGTCCCTCAAGGGATGACGACTCGTACGCCAAAGGTTGTACCCCTACAAGTTCCCCATGAGACCCTAGACCCCAGACCCGTACTACAACTAAACCTGACAAACCCTGAGGAGACTCCAGGCAAAGAGGAACCCTAAACCCTAAACCCTAAACCCATCGCCTGTGCTGGTGCCTTGGCTGCTTGGCCCGGAAGCCTGGCACCGGCAGATTGGGGAGGTGGCGGGGGGGTTGAGGGGGGCTTGCCTCCCCAGAAAGGCCACACCCCAAACCCCAAACAGAGAGCAGGGTTTAGGGTTTAGGGTTTAGGCTTTAGGCTTTAGGCTTTAGGCTTTAGGCTTTAGGCTTTAGGCTTTAGGCTTTAGGCTTTAGGCTTTAGGCTTTAGGCTTTAGGCTTTAGGCTTTAGGCTTTAGGTGTGAAGCCACAAGGGCGAAGGAGAAATGCCGACGAAGTTATCGGCCAGCAGGTGCCACAAGGGGTCGCATCAATACTTGAGGCTTGGGGTTTGGGGTTTGGGGTTTGGGGTTAAGGTTTAGGGCTTCGGATTGGGGTGGGACGACACCCTACATCCAAAAGGGCTTGCGGGTTAAAGGTTCATCTGCCTTTTTCGGCCTCTTGCACCCGCTCGAGGTTTAGGCTTCAAGGCATTCGGGCTGAGGGTGTTAGGACGTTAGGACTAACCGGTGTTAGGATTGCAGGGCTTGGGGTGGGGTGGGGAAAGGGTCTGGGGTTTAGCCCCCCCCCCCCCCCCCCAAACAAAAAGAATCCAACCCTAAGCCAGAAGCTTCGCGAAGCTCGCGCTGCAGCGCAAGTCCCCAAGGCCCATCCAGAAGCCTAAGCCCTCTAAGCCCTAAGGCGCGAACCCCAACCCCTAAGCCCAAAACCCCAAAACCTATAAACCCCCAAACCCCAAGCCCTAACCCCTAAAACCCACGCCCTCAACCCGAAATCCTAAACCCTAAACCCTAAACCCTAAACCCTAAACCCTAAACCCTAAACCCTAAACCCTAAACCCTAAACCCTAAACCCTAAACCCCAACCCAACAATCGTCGGTGCGGCCTGGGCATTGAAGCCGGTGTCGGCCCCCGAGAGCTTCCAGCCGCGGCCGTAGGTTGGCAAGCCTCGGCGGCTCCGATGTGTTGGGGGTTTAGGGTTTAGGGTTTAGGGTTTAGGGTTTAGGGTTTAGGGTTTAGGGTTTAGGGTCTAGGGTTTAGGGTTTAGGGTCTTCAGGCTTTTCATTTAATTTTCAGGTTTAGGGTTCAGGGCTTAAACTTAGGATTTTATGGGCTTTAAGGGTTTCAGGGCTTCAAGGAAATAGGGTCTTAGGGCTTGTTCAGGGTTTGAGGGTTTCTGGTCCCAGGGGTTTTAGGGGTTCAGGGTTTGGGGGTGGGGGCTTCTGGTCTTCGGGCTTTGAAGGGTTTAGGGTTCTTAGGGTTTTGAGGGCTTTGAGGGTTTTGAGGGTTTTGAGAGTTTTGAGGGTTTCCAGTTTGGGGGGGGTTTGGGGCTTGGGGGTTGAGGGGTTTTTGGGTTTCATGGTTGAGGGGTTTCAGGGTTTACCGCTCGAAGGTTTACGGCTGCGTCATTTCTGGAAAGGCTTATGATAGGGGTCACTCCCCACAGCCTGCACCCTAACCCTAAACCCTAAACCCTAAACCCTAAACCCTGAACCCTACACCCGTTGAAAGGTTTAGGGCTCTGAGGGTTTGCAAAGCCTGACAGCGACTCTCGGAGTGGTTTTGAGCTGAGCACACCGGATCTCGAGAAGGTGAGAAGGAAAGAAGCTTCCCTGCCACCCAAAGTACCCGGTAGACTCTTACCCTAAACCCTAAACCCTAAACCCTAAACCCTAAACCCCAAACCCTAAACCCCAAACCCAGGACCTGGCCCTAAGCCCCAATGACTCCATGGGGATGCCAAAGAAGGACGTCTCCGCCTTCGTCAGCCCTGCAAGCATCGAGCCTTGAAACCCAAGCCTAACCTTCAGATCCTCGACCTTTCAACTGTAAACCAGACATGGTAGGGAGGGACCCTCGACTCAGCCTTTCATGACACCCCTGGACCTCCTACCCTATTCCCTGAACCCTAAACCCTAAACCCTAAACCCTAAACCCTAAACCCTAAACCCTAAACCCTAAACCCTAAACCCTAAACCCAAAACCCGATTCGGGAGGCCCCGAAATACCCCCCCAACTCTCTTGCACCCGAGGATGCCAAGGACGAGTTTGGAGGCCGGCGCCCCCTTCTCGAGCCAGTAGTCCACGGCCCAGGAGACGCTGAGAGGATAGCCTCAGGGTTTAGGGTTTTAGGGCTTAGGGTTTAGGGTTTAGGGTTTAAGGGTTTAGGGTTTAGGGTTTAGGGTTAAGGGTTAAGGGTTAAGGGTTAAGGGTTTTAGGGTTTAGGGTTTAGGGTTTAGGGTTTGGGGTTTAGGGTTTAGGGTTTAGGGTTTAGGGTTTAGGGTTTAGGGTTTAGGGTTTAGGGTTTAGGGTTTAGGGTTTAGGGTTTAGGGTTTAGGGTGTTCGGGTGTCTTCCTGGCCTGCTTTGAGCTCATCATCGGCGGTTGCATACAGGGGCGCGTTGCACCTCTGAAGCTCCAGCTCAGGGCAAGGAGAGAGCAGGGGCGGGGGGGGGGGGGGGCTAAACCCTAAACCCTAAACCCTAAACCCTAAACCCTAAACCCTAAAGAAATCTTGAAGGGTTCCAGGCTTCAGAGGGGTTGAGGAGCCTTGGAGTTGGGCTCTGAGGGTTTCGAGGAACCCGCAGCATGAGTTAGCGCTTCAGGGGCCGATGGGCTCTGGGAGTTCGAGATTCAATTGGGTGACTCAAGGTGCCTGGAGGGGTTTGGGGTTTAGGGCTAGGGTTTAGGGCTAGGGTTTAGGGCTAGGGTGTAGGGTTTAGGGTTTAGGGTTGAGGGCTTAGGCTTAGGGCTGAGGAGTTCAATGCTTCGGGGTCTACAAAATTGGTAGCTGAGGTAAGGAACTTACAAAATGGGTAGCTGAGGTGAGGGACTTGCGCGCCCTCCAATTGCTGTATTCTTCGTGTCCGAAGACCGTTCATTCAACCCTTAACCCCTTTGGCTCTCTATATTTACTATACGTACACATACACGCACACACACCCTCCCGTTAACAACACCCATCATCTTTCATCACAAATGTAGCACTATGTCTGCCACACACACACAAACCCAGAGCCCTGTGTCTTCACCCATGGGGTTCTAAACCCTGCAACACCCCAAACCTGAAGCCCCAGCCACACCATTGCGGCAGCCACCCATTCCTGAACCCTAAAACCTGAAATCCCCTGTCCAGGGCAACTTCCGGTGGCCAACTTTTCAGTGAACCGCCCCTTCCTAGCCCTGAGTACCCTCACATGCCCCCTCCTTCACCCTAACCCCCTAAACTCTAAACCCTGAAACCCTCGAACCCTAAACCCTAAGCCTACCCCATACATACTTCCCAAAATAGGAGTCCATCCGAATGTACCCCAAAAAGAATGGTATCATCCCCCAAAAAAAGGGGAAACCCCCCAGACTGCTTGATCACTAAACCTTAAACCCTAAACCCTAAACCCTAAACCCCAACCCCCAAACCCCAAACCCTAAACCCTAAACCCTAAACCCCAACCCTACATCCTCAAACCCTGAACCCTAAACCGCACCCTGGGATCCCCGGCCCGGTGGTGTCCTCCCAGGCCCCGTGCATGTCATATGTCATCAGGTTGATGAGATCAAGGTACTGGCTCATGCCCGGGATGTCGTAGGCCGTGTCCGCCTTAAAGGGGTCGGACACCAATTAGGGCTTAGGGCTTAGGGTTTAGGGTTTAGGGTTTAGGGTTTAGGGTTTAGGGTTTAGAGTTTCGCGTTTAGGGTTTCGGGTTGGGGCTTCTTAGGCTTTCGGGCGTTGAGGTCTTGGGGCCATTTATGAGCTTTACCCTGAGGGCCTGCAATCCTGAAACATCAAGGAAAGTCAAAAGACAAACAAAGCCCTAAACTTGGGATGTTCCCCCTTGCTACGAACCGTCCTTAGTAAGGAGCAGAATAGGGGGTACTAGAATCCCTATTGAGTACTGCTAGTATAAGTGGGGGAACATCCCAGCCCCCAAAACCCGAACGCCACAAACAGGGCGCTGTCGACTTTCCCACGCCCACGGCGGCGGTGAGGAGCAAGGGCGTGGAGGACTCCCTCTGAAACCTGCCGAGTGCTCGTGCTTCCGTGTTTCTTTTGGGGGGAAGGGGGCGGGGTTTGGGATTTTCCCCCCTTATACTAGCAGGTTGTTTTCATAGAGATCATAGTACCCCCTACTAGAATACCTATAAGGACTGTAGTAGTGTAAGGGGTGAACATCCCTAAACCCTAAACCCTAAACCCTAAACCCTAAACCCTAAACCCCTAAGCCCTAAACCCTGGGGGGTCTCGGACTTTGGGCTCGAGGTGGCTCTTTGCAAAAGCCACGTGCGCCTTCCGGTCCGGGGCGTAGGGGCGTAGAGCTAAGGACCAGAGCTTTACGGACTTGGGGTTTAGGGTTTAGGGTTTGGGGTTTGGGGTTTAGGGTTTAGAGTTTAGGGTTTAGGGTTTAGGGTTTAGGGATTAGGGTTTAGGGTTTAGGGTTTAGGGTTTAGGGTTTAGGGTTTAGGGTTTGTTGAAGCCCTCATTCCCCTACTAAGGACCAGGGATTTGTTGCGAGTTTAAACTCCAAACCTAGAACACCTAAACCCCCAAACCCCAAACCCTAAACCCAAAACCCCAAACCCTAAACCCCAAACCCCCTAATCCCCCCAAGCTCCAAGCCCGGCCCCACTGGGGTAAGCCGAGCGTCTCTTCCTTCAGGATCCGCAGCATTCGGATCTCAGCGGCACGTGGTTCATAGAGGTTTCCCAAAGCTCTACTCCAAAGCGGTGCCCCCAAAGAGTCCAAGAGGGAAGATTTAGGGTTTAGGGTTTAGGGTTTAGGGTTTAGGGTTTAGGGTTTAGGGTTTAGGGTTTAGGGTATAAGGCAGAGGGTATTGGGGCCGGGGGTGGGTGGGGGATACGGAGGGGCACCAAGGTGGTGGGGATGCCCGTAGGGGCACCTCGGGGTAGAAGACGTCTGGTTCAAGGATGAAGAACTTGTGGGTTTAGAGCGTATAGCTTTGGGGTCCTTAAGGGGTTTGGGGGTTTAGGGCTTCGGGTTTAGGGCTTAGGGCTTCGGGTTGAGGGTTTAGGGTATAGGGGTCCTTGCGGGCGGGCGGCATAGTGTGCATAGTCCTCTTGGCTCTCGCCACCACCCACACGGTTGTGGCCCTGAGGGTGGCCGAAGATAGGGGGAACTTGGAACCCCCAAATGCCACACTCTACTCAACGCCCGAACCCGATTCTCCTGGTCGGGGAATGTGGGATCGTTTGGGGTCTAGGGTGTACCAGGGCATGGGCTCAGGGTTTATAGGGTTTAGGGTTTAGGGTTTAGGGTGTAGGGTTTAGGGTTTAGGGTTTAGGGTTTAGGGTTTAGGGTTTAGGGTTTAGGGTTTAGGGTTTAGGGTTTAGGGTTTAGGGTTTAGGTTTAGGGTTTAGGGTTTAGGGTTTAGGGTTTAGGGTTTAGGGTTTAGGGTTTGGGGTTTGGGGTTTGGGGTCTAGGGTGTAGAGGACTTAAGGCTTGGATCCTGGGGGTGTCGCGTTCAGGGTCTGGCGTCCAGGGCATGGGCTCAGGGTTCATAGGGCTTAGGGTTTAGGGTTTAGGGTTTAGGGTTTAGGGTTCAGCATCTCAAGTTCGAGCATTTACTAGGCCAGCAGTGTGTTCAGGCAACGGAAAAAACCCACCCGCCCAAAGAATCCCATAACATTAAGAAAATAAAAGGTCTTCTTCCTACTCCAAAGAGTTTTACCTACCCAAGTCAGACACGTTTTCAACAACATTAGGAAAAATATCCAACCTCCTTCTTCTCTATATAGGCACGTGGTCAACTGAATGGATTTGTTACCCACATGTTTCTGTTTCGAGCGGACAAGAAAACCAAACGTGGTCAACATAATGGATTAGTTAACCACATGTTTCTGTTTCAAGCGGACAAGAAAACCAAACGCAACAGAATGGATCTGTTTATCACATTTGGAAGCCATCTTGAGTTTCTTGAATCGATTGAGGGGCTTCAGGGGCCTCAAAAACAGGCGCGGTCATTCGGGAACTTATTCTTTGGAAGCCATCTTGAGTCTCTTGACTCTTTTGAGGGGCTTCAGGGGCCTCAAAAACAGGCGCGGTCATTCAGAAACTTATTCTTTGGAAGCCATCTTGACAAGCGGGCTTCCCCACCCCACCCTTTGATCCACTTCATTGTCGAGGGGGGAGGGGGGGCGAGGGGGGGTGGTGGGGGGGGGGGTGGGGGGGTGGGGGAAAAAATTAGTAATAGGGGGATTCTCAGGTTTCCGCCACAGGCGCCCATCTAAACATTTATACAATTAACCTCATTCATTTTATCATACCTATAAATTAAATTCTACAAAAAATCATTTTATGAGCCTTTTTCATTTCATAAAATAATTTTTCTAGGGCTTTTTACTTTAAGTCCTAAATAATTACAATTATTTTTTTATGTTCCATCTTATTCATTATTTTCATAAAAAATTACCTCATTCATTTTCTCATTTTTGAAAATTACCTTATTCATTTTTTGTCTTCAAAAATTTAGGGGATTTTCAAAAATCTCATATTTCAATTTTGACTGGGGTTTCTGGGACATTGGATACCTCATTCATTATTTATAAATATTATTTCAAAATTTTCATAATTTATGCCTAAAATATTACATTTTTTATATATCTACCTTATTCATAAATTTCAGGGATTATCTTAATTCCTAGGTTTCTGGGGTCGTTTACCCTCTAGCGTTTTATCAAATATTCATAATAATTTTTATTATGAATGTTTGTTGGGGTTTTTGGTCTTGAAGGTTAATTATTATAATCATCAAATAAATCATTCAAATATTTTTTCAATTCATCATTATCAATATACTTCTTATCAAGAAATATTAAGTTATTTAAATATTCATAAACAATTAATTTACATAACCATTTATCATCATATCTCCTATTATAAAAACTATATTTCATTGTTGGTATATTTGAATACATTGAAAGATAATGCTTTAACCATTCCTTATCATAAATATTTTCAATAATTCTACAAAAGCAAAAACTCATCATACAATAACAGTTTCTTAAATATGATTTTAAAACATTCTTAAAAGGATTGTTGCTTATTTCAATTATGTTTATTAATGCTTTCATTTCTCTTTTCTTGCTTCTACCGTATTCATTGTAAGCTGAAAATTTAGTTCGTCTAAAATAATGAAGTTGTTTTCCAATTTTACTTAAGTGTTTGTTAAAAATATTCTCTTGTTCTTTTGCTCTCATATCACCACAATAATTACAACAATCATATGAAACGATTTTATCAGTTAAAACTTCAGGTAATATTTTATATAAAACTATTGATTTTGTATTTTTAAGTTTCTTACACGCATCGCACTTGCTATAATCTAGGATGGTCATAGTTCCTACTATTCTAGGGCTTTCTGTCTTTAAGTGGATACTAATATATTATAAAGTTTAGTTGTTTATAATATAATAGTTATATTTCAAATATGCCACTCTCCTATTCCATCCCAACAATTTTCTTGTTGTAGTTTCATTTTATAATAAAGTTCTTGGTTTTTTGGTTTTTCACCAATTAAATATTTTAGGATTTCAGCTAAAGCATAAGAATTATAAGCCATCGCTTGATAACCTCCAGAACTATTAATTTCTTCTCCGTTCCGTCTTATTAATTCCTCGTTTTCAATGTTTTCATAAATTTCTTTTAAAAGCTTATGATTATTGTGACCATATTCCGAGTTCATCATCAAGTAATGAAATTTAAACTCCATAACTCCTTCGTCTTTCCATTTCTTCGCCTTACTTAAAATCATCTCTTCAACAAAATCATAACTTGGATAGGGGTTTTTCTTCACAAATGTTTTAATCTTTTGAACTGTTTTTTCATCCATCATATCACTATTATATTAAGGTGTTTTTTCTTTAAGTCCATTTACTTATTTGCTAGCAATAACTCGTGTCTCATATATTTTTTAGGTAAACCTTCAAGAACATAATACTTATTTAACTGCTTGTCTCTCTCAACTTCTTTTACTTCATAAATTTTATCTGACCAACGGGATGAACTTTCTTTTCTAGATGTGTAGTTCCCTTTTCCTTTACTGAAAGTTTTCACTTTATCACCTTCCCTTATTTGTGGGTAGTTTCTTAAATATTTTTCTTTCAATACTGAATTTGCTTTTACCGTTATAAAACTCTCATCACGGTGTGCATCATTAGGGACTAAACCAGTGGTGCTGTGCTTCATTTGTTTATTATATTTGTCTAAAACAGGTTTCAACATTATTGTCCATACTCCTTTATGAACTTGTAATCTATCACTTATCATTTTCTTTAAGGTTCTGATAACACGCTCGGCCACGTTTGAATGAGTTAACGTTACATTATGTGTAATTCCCTCTCCTTTAAAATAATCTTGTAGTTTTTTAGATTTAAAACTTCCCTCATCATCACTATAAACGGATTGTGGATGACCCATTTCTTTAAAGCACTCCAGAAATGCATCATACACAGGTTCAGTATCTTTATTATGCATTGGCACGACGTGACATTTTTTACTAAAATTATCAATACAGACAAACCCATATCTTTTATATTCAGGTTTATATGTTCCTGTATCTTTCATTAAGCTAGTCATATCCATTATATCACAGGAATAAATAGAACGGGCAAAAGGTGCTGAATAACTGTTATACTGTTTGTAATTGCTTCTCTGTTTTATTGACTGACTTTTCAACCATTCTTTCACTTCATTAAGCGTTACTACTAATCCCGCTTTTATAGCATCATCATATAAACTCTTTGCACTACCAAAACCGCTTTGTACATCATAATGCAAGTCGCTTAAAACTTGCTGTTTGTTCATAATTAATATTATTATATGTTAGATAATAATATCAATTCCATAACAATATTTTTCTACCTATCTTATCCATCATTTCCTTTTCTAATCTTTCCTGATATATTTCTTTACATCTCTTCGTGTTCATATGTCTAGATTTAATGGTATTACTACTTATCTTTCTTCCACACCTCTCACATATAAAACACTGACTATTATTTTTAAAATATTCTTTATAGTATCCATTCTGTTTATTTTTTTCATTGATTTTGTCATTGAGTGATTTCTTTTTTGCTTTTGCTATTTCCTCGCTATTTTCTTCATCTAGCGAGTTCCATAGCACATCAAAAAGGTCATCATCAATGTTTAATTTTTCACCTTTTTCCGTTACAAAGCAGGAGTTCATCTTACTGTTTAATGTTAATTATTCTTTAAGTAGGGGGCGTTTTAGCACCCCCCATAAAGTAATAATTAACTGCTTATTGTTCTTCTACTGCTTCTACTCCTAATGTATTCTATTGTTTCCTGTGAACGTCTTGAACTTATTACACTATGTGGTGGTGTTGCTTCTTCAATATATTCAATTGTTCTATCACTTGGAACGGAACTTTGAACTGTTTCAGGAGGTGATGAATGAATATATTCACTTAATGCCTCTTCTTCAACTGGTAATAATACACTTCTGTTTGAACTTCTTCTAGAACTTGATGATGAAGGCTCATAAGATTTTTTAACATTCATAGGTAAATCATCGTCGCTCTCTTGGCTTCTCATAGATGCTTCAGGCTGTACAATAATTTGTTCTTCATCAGTATCTATTTGTTGCCTTCTGCTTCTCATTTCTTCTCTTTCTTCTTTAAATTCGTCCTCGCCAAACATAGCATCATAAACTCTAGACATTAATGACTTTTTCTGTGGTTGTTCTCGTTCTCTATCCCTTTCTTGTTGTTTCTCACTACTTTTTATACTTGATACACTTTCATCTGTTTGTCTCTGTTTAACGTCGCGAATGCCTCGCGAGGCTTCTGCCGAAGCGTCTTCTTCTAATGATTTCATACTTTCACTTTCTGTTATGCTTGGTGTTTCATTGAATACATCCGTTTGCGTTCCCTTATTAGGGTTATCATTCATTATTATTGTCTTCTTATCATACTTACCTAAGTCAAAGTCATCAAAATTAACATCATCTAATAATAAACCTTGTTGTGTTCTTCTCTCTTTCTCTGGTAATATTCTTAATCTTCTTGTTCTTGCTTCCCTTTCTATTTCTTCATATGTTGGGCGTAATCTTAACATTATTATTAATACTTAT